TGTTAAATTATTTCTAGACCCAGAGGTTTTAGAACATCTTTTAACTATAAAATACTTTTAATTAGGCTTAAAGCAAAATGTATAAAAAATTTCCTAATTATTTTCCCTCGTGGGGTATAATATAATGGCAGTGTCAATTTATTACTAGACCCAAAAGTATTAGGACATCTTTATAATATCAGAACCCTTAAACTAGGTTTAAATTATTTTTTTTAATTTTCACATTTATTTTTTTCTCGAGGATTATTATCTAATGGCAGTACCCATTTATTACTAGTCCCAAAAGTTTTATAACATCATTCTAGTATCATAAACTTTTAACTAGGTTTAAGACAAAGTTTTAAAAAATATCCATTTTTCCTCGTGGAATACAATATAAGACAGTGCCAATTTATTACTAGAACAAAAGATTTTTGAACATCTTTTTAATATCAAAAACTTTAAATTGTGATATAAAATCTATTTATTACAGTATAAAATATTTTCGATTGCTGATATAAATAAATTTTGCGTAAAGAATTACAAGTTATAAAAAAGGTTAATTAATTCATACATATGCCTCAATTGATAATGGTTTTTAAAAGCCACATGAGGCATATAATTCTAGCAAGTTAAATTGACAAAAGGTCATAAAAATCAACGATTCTTGAAGAAGAGAATATAAACGACCAATCCAAATCATAAAACTATATGGTGGCTAGAGCTTCCTCTTAAATGACATGATAAAAGCTAGATAAGTAATCGAGAAAATTTTTGTAAGATATTAAATTTATATAATATATAAACGACTACACAGTTGACCTTTATTGCTTATCTAAAATATGCAATCATATGCTCTGCAGCTTTAGTAATAATCTTAAATTACATAGCCACACAAATAATAGATGCTGGTTAATTTGCTATCATAGCCATGACACTCACAATGGTAACCCATATCAGAATTTATTATGTTAGATAATTGATAAAATAAAAAAAATAAAAATCTTTAGAAGAAATAATGCAAATATCTTGAATTTATGAATTATTTACACGGCAAGGTTGTCATATTAGAAATGAAACATTTTGTAACTATAAAATAATAACCAGAATGATATGATAAAAGTAATTAAGATTATATATATTATTGTAACACCACCTCTAGGTATATTATATCTTAAAATAAGAGTAGATTGTAATAATATCAAAAATATATTCGTGTTAAAAATTTAACTCAAAACTGTTTTTCAAATAAGAAAAAAATAGCTTTCCTAAAAACATGTAAAAAGGAGAAGAAAAGTTATCTAATTTATTACACCCATTCTGGGATGAATAATAAGATGTTAAATTTTTTTAAATATCCTAAATAAATAGATGGCGTTAAATATTTGAAAGCAATTTATTACTTATATTTATTCTAAAAAGCATTTACTAGTAAAATATATTAACATATTAACTATAATATATTATATAACTGTCAAATACGCCTGTAAAAGTAGTATTTAAGCTAATATTTTATAACCAATTATATCTAATAGAGTATTATAAAAAATATGTTTACTTACTTTTTATAAATAAATCTCTTATACTTATTTGGATTTGGACTTGAAAATAATTTTAAGAAGTGGCATGGTAATTTAATTTAAATATCAATAATATAGTTTATTAGTGATTTTTAACTCCGCTAATTACAATATTAAATTTGTTAATTTTCAATTAATATTTATTTAATTAGGGTTAAATAATAATTTAAATAATAAAAGTCAATAAAGCTTCAACTGTTAATGCTAAATTAATGCTTAGTGAGTGATATTAGTATTCTATTTTTAACACAGAATTTGTTTGCAAGCTGACATATTGAAAATATAATAAGTATTAATCAAATCTAATAATTAAAATAGTATTAATTGAATAATTTAGATAGACTAATTAATTTTTATTTTATAAAATTTAATCTATATATTACTCAATGGAATTATAAAATAAATCATTCAGTGGGCAATCAAAAAAATTTTTTACTTCATGGGGCTATTCAAATTTTTCAGGGGGCTCGAGCCCCTGCGCCCCCTAGCGACGCCACTGATATTCCTAAAAGTTTATAAGAGAAATACAATTAGAGTAAGGTTACCATAGTTCTATTTAGACACAACTTATATGAAAAAAATAAACTTGGAAGATCTTCTGATAGGCTATCATAGTTCTATTTAGTCACAACTTATTAGAAAAAATAAACTTTGTAGATCTTCTGATATGGGTGATACCAACACAATTGTAGCCATAGTTGTACCCCAAATACTGAGTATTAAAATTCTAGTTCGATTAATATGGTTTCTGGGTATTCATGTTAAAGGATCTTGATATTTCATTGATAATCTTTATTGAAAATTTAAATTTAATATGAACACGAATTGTGCCAATTTAATTTATTAAATATTATCAAAATCATTCTAAAATAACATAAATAAACTAAAAGGTAAAAGTACAAAATCAACTAAAAATATATAACAAACTAAAAAATTATAAAAAAGCTACTTTTTTCTCTTTCTATATTTGTACTATTAAAATTTACATAACCTCGATAATTATTTTATATAATTGTCCATTAATTTGTTTACAATTTAAATCTTTCAATTTAACTTTACAATTTTTCAATTATCTTTACAAATTTTATATTCAAATTAACTATTTCTTTAAAATTATCATTAATTCAATACCCGTATTCGACTATCTTGATATTCTTATAATCCATTTAATCATCCTTAAAACCGAGCCTCTCCGCTCTATATATTTTTACATAAATCTGCTAATTTTTCGTTTTGGGGATGAGAATTTTACGTAGGCCGGGTCTTTAAAGGTTTTCCATTGGTAAACCCAGCTTGCATCTTTGAGCAATAATAAATTCTTTCAAACTAGTTATTTATAGACAATATATAATATCTTAAATTTTTAGAATTTTTTTTTAGATTAATAAATATAGGGCTTTTGACGTTACTAAAAACTTAATGTCGTCACATTTTGCTATACTATGTAAAAAGATTAATTTAAATAATAATAAATAAAAGTTATTAAAATGTAAAAATAATAATAAAATATAGTATAAATAAGTAAAAAGTAACCCTGGGACTAGTATTAAGAGGCCAGAAAAGAAATGAAAAGAGTTCGAATGACCAAGGGGAAAGATGATGCAATATTGAGAATAAATTTGGAAACAACATTAATCTTTGCTGGCTAATAATTATTTTTGTATTTTAACTAAGGTATATATTGTAATGATATATATTTTAACATTTTATCATTTTTGTCTTTAATTTTTTATATAAATTTTAACCTTTTTATTATAAATTGATTTCGAAAATACTTTTTAATTTTTCGCGTAATTTAATTAATTAATTTTAAAATATACATGATTTCATCACTAGTTATTTTATAATATATATTTGTTTCCATTTAACCATTAAACTTATGTAAATATTTCTTATTCAGCTTAAACCACTCTGAAAGTTACTTTAATAGGTTGCTTTAAATAGTAATGTAGTAACCTGTGGAAGGGGGGGGGTTGATGTTTAATTTGTAATAATGAATAATAATTATAAATGTATTATTATCTTTCTAAGAATCATAGATTTAATTATCTTTTAATAATATTTATGGAATTAAAACGAGTATTTTTTTCCAGGGGAGAAGTGCTCTCACTCCCTGAAAATCCAACTAAATATTAAAATATATAAATGAGCCGGATTGGTAATTAGTTTAAGGTCCAAGTACTAAATTATATATTGTTAGATTTTAAATTTTTAAATATTTATTTCAATTAAAATCAGTGATTGATTGAAAAATCGATTTTGGCATCCTGTTCCTACAATAAATTTTAATAATTTTAAAAATCAAAATCCCAGTTCGGCCCTTGCAGGTGTTGAAACTAAAGTTAGAATTAAAAGTTTTGTTTTTATCTTTAAATAACTTAAAATTGGTGTTAGTCTTGCTTTTCAATAATTAACTTTTTCATATTAAGATTTCTCTATTTAAAGATAATTTTCATTATTGTTTCTAAAAAAATGAAGAGAGATAACTTTAAAAAAAATTATTGTTATGTACTATTAAAAATCATATTTTCATTTCTCTTAAATTTATTTAAAAAATAAGTATACACTTGATTTCCTTATTTATTAAAAAAAAATTGTCAATTTTTCGTTGAATTCCCTTAAGGAGGTCTAATAAAAAATTTACAATAAAATAATTTATTGTATTATTTATTTTTAAAAAAAGACATTCATTAATATGCTTCTCATCCCAAAGTACTTTTTTTTAACATTTGTAGAGTATAATTTAGTAATAGTATTATTTATTTTGTACTAGTAAAAACAGTATTACATTTAATGTTATATATATATATGGTGTCATTTTAACTAATTTTAAAATTGTATTTTTTTTAACTATTTAAAACTAGTGAAATTATTCAACGATGTAATAAAAATAGTATAATTTTGATGTGGTTTAAAAGTTATATTAATTTATTATACAATTTTTATATGAAAATGAACAAGGGAAGCCATGCTTCTCTAGACGTTACATCTGAGTTACGCTTTTGGTTTTATATATATTTAAAAGAAGTCATATTTACATTTATAGTTTTTTTAAATCTAATATGTTTTGATGTATAACATGCACTCTATCTTATTTTTACACATAGGAAAATTGTTTAGTGTAATTAACTTTCTAATAAACATGAGTATATATATATGTTAATATATCCTAAAATTTATTTATAATATTAAACTACTTGAGTATTTTTAATATAATTGAGATTTATTTATTGCAGGAATAGACTTTTTTATTAAAAAATAAAAATAACCAGTCAGCCAATTTCCATTTAGATAAATCTTAAAATATAAGAACTGTTAAGTTGTTATAATATAACTCATAATACTACATACATTATAAATAATTTCTAAAAAATAATGTATAAATTTATATTATTTTTTATAAAGCTTTAATTATAAATAATATAAATCCGAGTAATTATATTCAACGTTTACACTTATTTCCTCATTTTGATATGGTAAATATTTTATCTTTTATCATGTGCTTAACATAATTTTAGGGTTTTGTTAAAGTATTAAAAAATAAGGCTTACTTCAAAAGATATCAGGTAAAATTTAAAAGGAGAAGAGAGGGAAAAACGGATTATGCTGCGCGAAAACAACTGGTTGTTCAAGACAAGAATAAGTATAATACCCCTAAGTATAGAATGATAGTTCGGATAACAAGAAATGATATTATTTGTCAGGTAATATATAATAATTATAAAAATTAAACTTTTGTAAAGATTGCATATGCCAAAATTGAAGGTGATGTTATTGTTGCGTCCGCATATTCACACGAATTATCTGAATATGGATTAAAAGCTGGTCTTACTAATTATGCAGCTGCATATTGTACTGGACTACTATTAGCAAGAAGAGTATGTTTTTAGATTTTCAATGATTAAACTTTTTAAATGACAAATATGAATTATATATAGGAAGAGTATGAATATCCTGATTATTTTCTAAACTTATTGCATTTAAATTTCTTTTAGATACTTCAAAAGTTTAAATTAGATAAACATTATCAAGGAGCTGAAGTTATTGATGGTTCTGATTATTGTGTAGAAGATATTGAGAGTTGCCCTTCAGCCTTCAAATGTTATTTAGATGTAGGACTATCTAGAACTACCACTGGCTCAAAAATCTTTGCAGCTATGAAGGGAGCATGTGATGGAGGAATTGACATTCCACATAGGTATTATTTTCAATACTTAAATCTAATTAATGTTACTCCATTATATAGTAATAAACGTTTTCCTGGTTATGATAAAGAATCTAAAGAATACAATCCAGATGTGCATCGAGAACGTATATTTGGACTTCATATTTCAAATTATATGAAATTATTGCAAGAGAATAATGATGATAAATATAATAAACATTTTTCTCAATACATTAAGAATAATGTGGACCCTGATACTGTAAAATATTAATATCTCTTTTTTTATAATAAAGATTTAGATAGAAGAAATGTATAAAAAAGTTCATGCTGCAATTAGGGCTAATCCTACACATGTAGCAAAGCCTAAGAAAGAATATAAGAATCCCTCTAAAAGGTATTTTACATAAATCCATACACCTAACTTATTTTTATAGGTGGAATAAGTTAAAATTGACTTTGAAACAAAGAAAAGCTAAAATAAAGGTTAAGCTGGCAAATATAAAAAATCAGCAATCTATGGTGGAAACATAAATTATTTATTTTGTTAATACTGGAACATTGTTATTGTTGAATCAATCTGTTTATTTTCCTTAAATAAAATAATATTTTACATAAATCAATGGAATAAACAATAAATTTGTTGATAGTAATTTTTTAAATATTAGAATTACATATGCTAACTTTGGCAATCTAGATTCAGATACAATTTTTATTATGCTCTTAAATAAGGTTTTCATAAACCTAAGTTACGATTCTTTTATGAAATGAGCTAACTGCATTGATAACTTTTGCTAAAAATATGTTTGTAAATGAATGAATAATAAAATTTTACATGACATTGTCATCATAATTAATATTAAATTACAGTAAAACTTGTCTATTGGCAATCCTTAATTCCCAATCAATTTCATATTAAACAATAAAAGTTGACAAATTAGGCAACTGTTTGAGAGCAAGAATCTTGGTTACAACTATTCTTAAAATGGACATGTTTACTGTATTTTTAAATAGAAAACCATTTTTTCAGAAATGGGAATTGGTACTTTATAACCTCTTCATTAGCTATTATCCTATTTTTCAACTTATACTGTCATTTGGGGAGAGGGAACTATATTTAATTTGATCATTCTTGTAAAAATTACAATCATATAATAAATTTAAGCATGGCTACGCCTACCATAAAATAATTTTAGACTTTCTCCTATTGGATTTCTCATTTGGCAATATATAAATATTACATCTAATAGCTAGTACTTTCTTAAAATTATATTTTTAAACCTCTTGCGCCTATGGATAACTTTTGGAATCACAATTTTCAATAATTATATACATTAAATGGCCACTGATACTTATGAATTTATATTTTAAATATTTACTGATTATTAAACTCGTTTTGTTTCATATGTTATATCATGTGGAATCAGTATTTTTTAGTGCTTTAAACGTTACTACAAAAAAGATTACTCGTTACATCTGAAAAAGGAACGCGCGTTACCGACTTTCAAAAAAGTACAAAAATAATTTTAAGAAAAAAATATTTAATTATAATAAAAATAAAATTATACAAAAATAATTAAGATAACATCTTTATGTAACAATTTTTATTTATTTTTAGCAACTATTAATTTCAAAATTTTGATTAGACAAACAATAGCGCTTAGTGCTCCACAGCTGGTTAAATAATGGGATGTTATATATATAGTATTTTAATAATAAATAAAATCTATAATGAAATTCTCTGTAAAATTTTGTTATTGCATAAATCCTGGCTATGCCACTATTTCATTTATATATTATTTAAACAAAGTTTTTTTAAAATCACTATTTTTTATTGTTTAAATTTATTAATTATACTAAAACAAGAAATAGAAGATATAAAAAAACTCAATTGAACCAAAACCAATATTTTGTTAATCTTGGGTTTTTAATGTTGGTTCCCATCTCAATACTGTAGTATAATTTAATTGCTTATATTTAGGTCTGCCGATCCACATATTTTTCACCGATCCGATATTGTTTGAAAACCGATCCAATACTGATACCGATTTGATATTTATTGATTTTTTACTACCCCCCCCCCCTTTTGAACCAAATGTAATTAAGAAATCAATATTTTTTATGTAAAAAATCAAATTTTGCATTTAATTTTTTATTTCTACAATTACGACTATAATTAAAAAAACATATTTGATAATATATCCATATGTTGGTATGAATTATAAAATTGTATTTAATATATAAAATTGATTTTTTTAAATAAATACGAGAGCCTCTAGATTTTCTGGCAATAAGCTTCTACGATATGGAGTGTCTATATTCCCTGCCGTATTGAAGGTAAACTCAGATGATTCTGCAGATAACGCATTTTGCAAAATTATCTTTGTCTATAAAATATTTTCATAATTCAGATACAATATATAACCCTTCAATACTCCGGTGAAAAAAATGACGTTAGTACTCGTGGTAGGCCTATTCAAAAACGAATTCGAATCGAATAGTGCATTATTCATATCGATTTGTTTAAACGAATCGAATAATTTACTATTTGAATACGTACGAATAATAAAATCTACTATTTGTATTTCGAATATTTAGAATTAATTTTTTTAATAAAATAAATCATACTCAAATATATTGAAAAATTTTTTTTATTACAAATTTGATTTTAAACAGAAAACATAATATGTAATCAATAATCTGATAATAAATAATATATAATCAAGTTATAAACAAAATTAAAATGTATATTATTAATTTAATTTATAATTTAAGGCAAATAGTTTTTTTTTATTTTCTTCCTTATATGACATGCGGTTTTTTGACAATAAATTAGTTCCAACTGAGAAAAGCCTTTCACAAGCAGTTGATGTTCCTTGTATAGATAGATAATTCCTTGCCATTTTCAAGAGTATGGGGATCCGATATGCATTTGCCTTTCACCACATACGAATCATTCTAATAATGTTTCTTAGTTTTAGAATTGAAGGATCTAAAATTTTTAAAATTTCTTTCTATATTAAATTAATTACATGGGCAAAGCATCATATGCAGGGTTGCCAGGTCAAAATTTTCAAATTGTGGGAGAAATTCGATATTTTGTGGGAGTAATATAAAAATTGTGGGAGAAATATGAAAATTGCTAAAAAAAAAAATTTTGCGGGCCGGCCCGGCCTGCGGCCGGGATTGAGAATTTACTTAGTTATCCGTTTATTATTTTTTATAAATATAAAATCGAATCTATTTTCCAAAATAAAATAGGTAATTATTTTTCAAAATAAAATAGCCAACTATTTTTCAAAATAAAATAGCCAACTATTTTTCAAAATAAAATATCCAACTATTTTTCAAAATAGGTAATTATAGTACGAGTACGACACAAAATTTCTTAAATACTATCTTTATTATTAAAATAACATATTGATTTATTATAATATATTAATTTTGTATAAAAATAATAACCAACGATCTTTTTTAAATACAAAAGAATGTAAACAAGATAAAATTTTATAAAAAAATTGTAATTTTACAATGTAAAAATATATTTTATGCTAATGTATAAATAAAATTTTATAAAAAAACAAACAATTTTAAATTTACAATGTAAAAAATAATTATAATCAGTGCGGGGAAGTTGTTCTACAGTATTTAGTTAATACAATGGGGGAAGTGAATATGATATTTTGAGGCATCAAAAATCTTCAAAGCATAAATCAGTACAGGGAAGTCTATCAACATCTATTGCAAAACAAAAATATTCTTCAAAAATAAGAAATAATACAGATGCAACTATAGTTGCGGAAATGGTAAATACCTATCATGCAGTACAACATTCAGAGAGCTACTTAACATCACAATGTTGGTAGAATCTTTCCCCATAATATTTAACGACTAATATAAATGAAAAGTATACTTTGTAGAACACAAATGAGCAAGGCTATCATCAATGTTTTAGGATATAAATCCAGAAGGTCAATTCTTGACGATTTGAAAGATGTGCAAACATATGCAATTCTAACAGATGCATCTAATAAGGAGATATCAAAACATTTCCCTTGATCCTCCCCTATTTCAACAAAATTAATGTGATTTTAATAAAACTATTAAAAAAAATTTCTCCAGATATGAAATATCCAAAGACATAGCTAACCATATATAATGGTAAATATGGCAGATTTGGCATTACCAATGAATTGCATGGCAGCTTTCTGATCTGATAATTCCTCAGTGAATTTGGCAAAAACCAGAGTGTTTTACAGAATTGAGTCAGCATAATGTTGGTTGACAGGTTCCTCCTAATACGCGCCATCGTAGAATTTTAAAATTTTACAAACCTCTATAAAGTAAATAGATTATAAAAGCTGTCATAATATTTTGAAAAAAATTTTCAAAAATAAATGGCAGAAGTATATTTAGGAATTTTACATATAGGAAATCTACTATATGTTGTTAATATGCAGTTGCAATCAGAAGAATATAATTTAATAAAGGTTCACTAAATTATGCTGCAAAAATACCAAAGTAAGAATATTATTACTATTATCGGATAATTATTAATAAGATTTAATATGATGTCATGTTTGAGGAGATTGTAATGCTTCTTTATTTTTATGATTTGCCAAAATATTCAAAATATTAATTTTACAATGTAAAAAATAAATTTATTTGATTTTATGCAAATGTATAAATAAGATTTTATAAAATATAGAAAGTCAAATAGTTATAGTTAATTATATTGAGATTTAAATAATGGAACTAAACGTTTACCGTCGTTATTAAGATATTTATAAAATTCCTGGCATGACATTTTATAATTTTGTTTAACCATTAACTCGGCCTCGTTAAAGCAATTCGATTTCTCTCCTTTCTCCAGACAGTCCTCATCAGGCTAAAAATGCGCTCCAATGAGGCATTAGAATGAGGTAAGGAGAAAACATACTGGCAAATTTTTTCCAAGCATGGGGATTTATCGTTATTATGAAAAAATTCCACCCATTTCTCCTCTGCTTTTAGACCATCTAACTTTAAGTATTCTGGCTAATCATAAAAAATGGAAAAAATTACAATCTCTTCAAACAAGGCTTCAATGTCTATCGGTAATTTTAATATATTTATTAAATTACAAAAACAATCAAATGATGGTTTCTGTTCCAAGATCATAATATTTAAACATTTGTAAATAGAGTTATTAAAATCAAATTTTGATTGTAAATATTCTAAAATTGTCTTAATAAAAATATCTGCTTCATTTAAAAATGTATTAATTAGAGTATTATTTGAACATTTTAATATAATATTTTTAGCAATAGCGCCATAAAATTTATTATCTATTTTTAACTGTAGAGATGAACAGAGCTGTAGCATGATTTTGTGAATCTTTATCAATAAAGAATCTTCTGATTGCAACTGAATATTAACTACATGAAGTAGATTTCCTACATGTGAAACTTATCCCAAATTAGCTTCTGACATATCATCCTCGAAAAAATTTTTCATTTAGGACAGCTTTTAAAATCTTTATTTAGAAGTATTTCTTTAAGGGTTCGTAAAATTTTAAAATTCTCTCGATGGCAGGTATTAATGATAACCACCTGATAGGTACATATCGCAACAACTCA